CACATGGCAAAATGTAAAGAACTTTCCTTGTGTTTGAGTGCCATGTTTGCTTGGCAAAGTCAAAGGTCAGCTGGGGAGGGACTGGGTGCTGGGGGGGTTAGGAGAGTAAAAGATGGGAAAGATGAAGCAGGTGTGGGGAGGAGGGGACTTGAGGCTGTGAAAAGGAGGGTAAATGATTCGGAAAAAGACAGCATCCATCTTCCTTGACCACTGAATCCAGCAGAGGGTCACAGTCAGTCCCGAGCCCGGCCCAGGAAGGGCCTTAGGCGCGTCCATCGCAGGCAGCACACGCCAAAGCTACAGGCAAGTTAGCCATGTCAAGAGGAAAGCGGTGGACCACGTCACAGAGGGGGCCGGGCAAAGCCCCCAGAGGTAGGATTTAAAAGTCCTGTGGCTGGAAATGCGAGCTGAGAGTGATGCCCACTGGGGGGCCTGCGAAGGGGAGGGGCAGCCTGTGAAGGGGAGGGGCAGCCTGCGAATGGGAGGGGCAGCCTGCGAAGGGGAGGGGCAGCCTGCGAAGGGGAGGGGCAGCCTGCGAAGGGGAGGGGCAGCCTGCGAAGGGGAGGGGCAGCAGTGCCTCACAGACGGAGCTGCAGCGAGTGGAGGCCCGGGACGAGGCTGTCTTCACACGTCTCCAAAGGCACGTTCCTGCTGATCTGCAGTCATAGAAGCTGCAGAATATCTCAAATATATCGGTCCCATGGTCACCAAGCCTTGGTGAGTTAATTAAATGGCAGAAAATTCTACCGCTGAGCTCCTACGTTTTGTTGACTTTGTTTTTCCCCCACGGCCATGGAAATATTTTGCCAGAATTGAGAGGTGTCTGTCTCAGTCCAATAAACCAGCTCAGAAACAGCACGATCAATCATCACTGTTGCTTTTAGGTTAAAATTCAGGAGAAGGTAACACACACACACACACACACAGACACACACACACACAGACACACACAGACACTCACACACACACACAGACACACAGACACAGACACACAGACACACACATTCAGAATCAGGAGATGAAACAGTAAATG